CCCCAAAACCCCAAAACCCCAAAACCCCAAAACCCCATAAACAATAAATAAAATTAAATAATTTATTGCTAGCCATGAAATCACTGATCACTACTCCTATCTTCTACACAAATGGGACTCCTCATATCGGACATCTGTACACACTCAGTAAGGGTTTTTACAATAGGAATTATAATATTTGGTTATAGTCTTGGCAGATGCAGTAAGAGCTTGGAAGAGGATCTGCGGACATCAGACTAGGTTAATGACAGGGACAGATGAGCATGGAATTAAGATTCAAAAGAAAGCGAAAGCTCTTGGAATTACTCCTCTACAGCTTTGTGATAAGAATTCTCAGTTATTTAGAAAACTTACTGCTGAAGCTGGAATCAAAGCAGATGATTTTATTAGAACAACTGAAGAGAGACATCACAATACAGTAAAACAAATTTGGACAGAGCTTCACAAGAGAAACTACCTTGAGGTTGGAAACCATGAAGGATACTACTCAGTCAACGACGAGTGATTCTATGTAGAAAAAGACTTAACGGCCAAAGAGAATGAAGATACTAACCAGATCGAGTACTTCACAGAGCTTGGTGAGAAGGTAAACTGGATCACTGAACAAAACTATCTGTTTAAATTTGATGATAACATTAAGAAAAATGTCCATGATTGGATCAACTCAGATACCAATCCAATCAGTCCAGAGTACATGAAGAACTTGATGCTCAAAAGTCTCACCGAGTCTAAAAGCCATCTTTCAGTAAGTAGGCCTAAAAGCAGAGTTAAATGGGGAATTGATATTCCTAAAATCCCTGGAGATATCATCAAATCAGACCAGACTGTTTATGTCTGGCTAGATGCTCTTTTCAACTACAAAACAGTCAATGATGGATTCGGGGATTTCAATGGAGAACTAGTACATATAATCGGTAAAGATATTGCTAAGTTCCATTGTATCTACTGGCCAGCTTTCCTCTCAGCAGCAGAACTTGATCTTCCTAAGAAAGTGATTGTTCATGGACATTGGACAAAAGACAACCTCAAGATGTCGAAAAGTATTGGAAATGTGGTAGATCCTTTTGACATAATCAAAGAAAATGGGATAAACGCAGTGAGGTCCTATTTACTCTCTTATGGTCCTCAATCATCAGACTCAAATTTTGAAGTTGAAAAGCTTGTCAATTTCCATGACAGTGTAATTATAGACGGGTTTATAAACATGTTCTTCCGGCTCACTGGTAAAAAGGTGTTAGATAAGCTTCATATTCAGCTTGCAGATATTGAATTCACCCCTGAAGATAGAGAACTTATTGAGAATGCTAAAAATTACACACAAGAGTGAATTAGAGAGCTTAATGATCTTAACTTTAGCATGAACTCTATCCAAGGAAATGCCTTAAAATCTTTAATTGACCTAGGTAATTGGTATCTGAACCATAATGAATTCTGGAGAGTCAAATGTGAGAAGAGATTGTCCACAATCAGGTATGTGATTTTCGAGCTTACTAGGATAATTTCGACCATCCTGTATCCATACTGCCCTGAGATCTCCACTAATATCCTTGAATGTTTGAATGTTCCTACATCAGAGATGACGATTAAGTCGTTAGAGGAACCTTTTACCAGAGAGAGGTTTGATATCAACAAGGAAAAACGTCTCAAGCTGTTCTTCAAGAAGATCAACCCAAAAGTGAAATAAGGCTAATTTCAATAGAGCTTTTTGTAAAATTATGAGAAAGGGTATTCAAGAAAATTTTTGATTAATTAGCAATTGATTCATGGTACTTTCATCATTTTAGAAAACATTAATCAACGACTCCTCACAGTTGATAGCTCAGGGTGGATTTTAAGGGATGAAGTAAACATCATTTTATTAGCTGGCATTGCTTTGATGCTATTGTTCGTAGATGTTCTGAGGAGGTTGATATCTCCCACCATTAGATCTTTATTTACTCAATCTCTAAATTATTGAACGACAAAAATTTTCAGCAATCTTCCAATCAGAGTAAAAGAGCATGGGGTTTTGGGGTTTTGGGGTTTTGGGGTTTTGGGG